TCTCTCTCTCTCTCTCTCTCTCAGTCACTCTCACACACAAACATATTATTCAATCTGAGATTTCGAAACCATGAGCTCAACTTTCATAATTACTTCATTTGCCTTACGTCTTACTTTGAAACAAAAAAAGAAGGAATGTACATGTAGTTGTGGTTTTAAAGAGCAAGGAAGTTGTGAAGGATCCGAAATTGTTAGAGGTCGGTTTTCAAATAGCACATTTTTAAATATCTTTTTATGTAGATCTAGAGATATTTAACGTTAAAACACTTTTCCGCCTCATCTCGCCGATCGGCTATGTTTACCTTCCAATTTCTTTGGATTTTCCCCAAAATGTGATGGCAAAGTGTTTTAAAGAACACGAAAAAGACGGCAAAAACTGATTACACTAAGTAATTACCAAAACATCCAGCTCTAATTTTTCTACAGTGCGTAAATTTTATACCCAACATGTACCCTCATATATACTACGTTTTGCCAATAAAATACTTACGAGATTGTTTAAACCAGCTGCTCCAGCGGTATGAAATATGAGTGACACGACGTCCATACTTATAAAGGGTTCTTTTGTGCTGTTCCTAATATATCGGTTAAACCTATTAAGTTCTACTCGAGCACGAGAGCAAAGATAAATGTATCCTATCCCATCTCAGTCATCAGTCACTACTTTTGTTGCTCTTATTATGGTAACATTTGTTCCTTATTTACTACGTTTTCTCTTCACCAATCTTTACAGTTCGGAGCGCCGTAAAACCTCTACTGAGACAAACATCAATCTTTCAGGGTTCTGCGAAAATCCTGGGTGGTCGTCGATGTGGGGATCTGTGATGACGCAAAAGTAGACTCTCAAAACCTCCGCCTTCGAAAAAGACAAGATGTTGGCTAGTATAAAGCTTAAAACTCAACTACAAATTTACTGTTTAAGAAAAATTAATATTGCCAAGACAAAAAAAAAAGTAGTGAATGACATAGTATTATATTTCTATTCGTATGCATTCATATAGCTTGTTTGTTTTGTTTAGTTGGTTTAGTAGAGGTTTTACGGCGCTCCCAACTGCATAAGGTCATATGAGTGCCGCACATAGCTTGTTTAAATAGGACAGACTTCATGAACGTGGAGCGTCTTCTTCATGTCCCAAATGTTTCAAACAGTTTTATTGTGGACACTCTTGGTCATTTTGATTTACATTAGATCAGGTGGTACCCGGGCAAAATTCAAAAGTTCCTACCAAACTAAAGATGTTTAATGTGTCCCGCGCGCTCGTAAGACCTTAAATTATTATGCAGTTGCGAGTGCCGTAAAACGCTTATCTTAAAAAAATCAAGTGGTAGACAAACGGCTCAGGCATCATCCCCCTCCCCTTCCCCAACCCTTCATACCTTCCCTATACACGTGACGTGGTGCGCAGTATCTTAGAATCTCCATTAAGGCCCTTTTTGGACTTGCGTTGGTTTGGTGTATCTTGAAGAATTTCCGTGGGTGGTTGGCGGGTGCTCTGGTGTGGTTTGTTCCTTCTTTCCTATTAAGCATCTGTCAGCCTTATCTCCCCTCCTTCTTTTTGTGTATGCTGCTCTCTAATAACACATAATCTATTCTTCGGCACTTATATTATGACCTTATTGTGTTGCATGTGCCGTAAAACTCTTACTAAAACTAAAGAAAAATTTCCTTCCTTTTGGCGTGGTGCTCTCATGATAGGACTTTAAAGAGTCAACGGTACCACCTCTTAAATAACAGTATAGTAGTAACAGACATGCCAAACCCATAACATACCTATCGACTAGGCATCTATGTTTATGTGCTGTTTTAGATTCAGGTTGAAAAGATAAAAAAAACAAGATGAATGAAAACCATTAAGAGAACACAGAGATAAATTCAGATCTCCGTGAGTTTCGACTTCACTTAACATGAACGCAGCTGTCGTCCTGCTACTTACTTTTCAGGGATTCCCCGAACAGACCAGCCATTCTCTCAACCTCCCTCTATTTACATCTAATTTCCCCTGTCACAGCGTGATTCATGGCCAAAATCCCGATTGTCCCCATTTTGATGGATTAGATATTTATATATTGTTATACATTCAACTTCCATAGACTTTCCTATACACCATGAATCACCAATGACCTCACCTCACTAAATATTTCAGGGTGTGATACATCGCACAACAGCTGTTTCTGCCCACACATTGGGAAATCCATGACCATAAATCTCGTCTAGCTATAATCCACTATGTATAACTTTTTCTCTCCATTCTGCAAGGTCACCCCGAAAGAGAGGGGTCTCAAATTACATGTATCTTGAAGTCTTTTAGGTACAAGGAATCAATGTCGTAGATCGTGAGCGGTCTTATGGCCTTTCGTTTACTTTTAGGAACAGCTGGAAGGGTGAGAAGAAAAGGAACGGTCGATACATAAAGTGAGAAACGAAGGAAACTATCGATTTTGTCGCAACATATCGGTTTTGTTTGAGATAACGTTGAATAATAACACATTGTGTCCTGTTCGTGTTTAC